TTCGAGGTCAAGATTAGCCAAGCATTTAAAACGTTACGCTGCGCAGTTATTACTTATATTTCGCGTAGATAGAGTCGCGTCGAATTAACCACACGCGACTATTTCAGCATTTACATACCTAATTTATGTGGACTTTAGCTCAACGGTTTTTAGTTTTTTTTTTTTTTTGCAGTATCAATTTTTCCATTCGAGAAAAAACGTCACCAGGGGCCAGACACTGAAATTGATGACAGCCAGACGACATCGGCGGAGAAAACGATGTTAACTTGTTTTGCCATCGGCCTATTGTTGTTACACAGAGAGTTAACGAGTTAATGGAAAAGTTTCCTACTAGAACTAATAAAGAGAGTGACTGAGTTGGCTATAATGGTTTGTTTGCCTTATGAGCTGTATTCTTTTTGCGCTGGTCATGCTCACAATTAAATCGTATTCTTCTTTAATTTGCATTCCGCCAACCGCAAAAACAATATATTAATGCGTTCGGACAGATACATGAAAAAGTTTCCGGCCAATGGCTTTGAGCCCTACTTCAATTCGTAATGGAAACTGTGTTTTTTTGTGGTGGAAAGTTTATCATACTTATGGGCATTGATACTGCGTAATGTAGGGTAAAGCCGCGACGAAGTGGAAAAACTCGGAGGGGAAACTGAGTTACATAGCACAGATAAAAAGTTCTGCCAATATTTGCTTTTTTGCTTTCCCTTTCGCTACAGCCATTCCCTTTGCCGCATTTGATTCAATTATAAGCGGATAAAAGAAGGCGAATATCGGTATACATCGGTATATATTCCCATATTGGCATAATCGCATCAGCGCGGGGAAAGCAGGATCTGTTGGTCAAAGCTAATTGAATTGGATTTACCGAAGCCAAGCTCAGCTCCCTGATTGTCTATTAAAACTGTTTGCCGGAACGTAATCTTATCAGCCAACGGAAACTGTCAATATTTCGTGTTATTCAACAAATAATACATATATTTAAGTGGATTCGTCATGCCGCCTGTCTCACCTGTTCGTTTGCTAAAAGGGCTGCCGTTCCGCCGTTTCGCCGTCAATTAGCAGACTTACCAGGGCTAAATATTATTATAAAACTGCCTACTTAGGGGAGAGCCACTCAAACCTTTGGCTAAGTGTGAAACAAATTAGCGCCCATTATTGCGGAAATCACTCTACTCAACAAAAACATGATGTATGTGTAAAAATAGCTAATGTTATGTTAAGGTGTCAGAAAAGCGGGCAGCCGGCACAAAATTCGATTTATCCAACATTTGTGTATCCCAAAAAATATAACTTGTCAAAAATGCATTTAGCTTTTCATCTTGTAAAGCGCAAATAATAATAATAATGCATTCAGGATTCAACACGCTTAATATGATATGACAGGAAGTTATAAAATGATATTGTCAGTTATCGGAAAATGCGACAAAGTTCGTTAAAAGCATTAAATGCATTGCTGCAATTGCACTGCACCTAAAACCCCAAAAATGTTTTTAACTTGCTGACACTGCCACAAAGTTCTTATCAGGTCTTCACCTCAATCAAAAGCCCCACAGCTCAACCGAAATTGGTCCGAGATAATTTCCCCATTTGGGCAATGCAATCAAATGACTCGATGGGCTCGGCAACATGGCAACTCATTATTAGCCGGACCTGATGGGCTTTTAACCAGTCCAAGGACATGCGGCTTCATGATGACCAAAAGTATATGTCTCGACTGCATATGGTCCGGTAAATTAATGGCTTTGCTTCAGTCAGGGCCTGTCCCTATCGCATTAAGTTTTCCATTTTTGGTATTGGGGGAATGCACACACGTGTAGGCGACACACCATAAAAACAATAACTTTTGGCTTTGGAGGAGATCAAAAATGCATACCTAGTGTTGTATAAATTCGTTATAATTGCTACTAATTGCCACCATTCTGATGGTAATGCTCAACACAAAGCACCATTAATCTCGAGAAGAGAAAGAAATCATTTTCTGTGCGCTGCACATCATGAATATCGCACTCGATTTGGAGTGGACACATGAAATTATCAGTTCGGCAACAAATAATGGTTAAATATCATTTATATGTATTTTTATGGTCTCATGGGGCTTAAATGCTTTAATTTCATCGATAAACACGTGCACTGTCTTGCGGGGCAGTCTGAAGTCCGTATGCGAGTGCGAAAACTTTATGTAAATGTTTTTCAGAGCCAAGCACTCGAAATGCATACGAAAAAGGCCACGTCAAGAGTGACGTCACAGTTGAGCCCGAAGTAAAGTCCGAAGACGAAACAAAAGCGGCAAGAAAACCGGCTTTCACATAGACTGGCTCAGATGGACCGACTCTTTGTGCTGGCCTGGGAATCACTCTGTTTTGGCTTGATCTCGGGCTCCATGTTATTCATGCTCTTCGATTAACCAGATCACGTGCTCGGTGAGTCCCCAGCGATGGTCGAAAGACCAGCCCCCTCAGTTGGTCAGCAGGGTGAATAAGTTATTGGCCGGGCAGTAAACATATAAATATCGCTGGCACTTTGTTCCCGGGTATTTTTTCAAAGTAGCGATCTACCCTTCCGCCCACCCTTACTCACGCTTTAAGTTTATCTTTCCGCCGAGTCATGCAAATGAGCGCATTATCCAGCCGGTGCAAATTCTTAACCCGATCATCAGACGGCGCTCACTCAGCCGAGCTCAGATACTCGGATACTTGGATACTTGGATACTCGGAACTCGACCCCACAGATACTCACAATCGTCTAGCTAGGTACATACAATGTGAACGGCATACACACCCCCAGACGGAACTGCAAACACCTGTCCACACAAATCTCGGTGCAATTGTCGCTGACCATAAAATATTCTTGGCAACAGGGCCACATTAGGGGTAGAATGACTTATAAGCCCTATGATATATGACTTATAATTGCTGAAATAGATTCAATACAAAGTGCCGCACTCACTCGATGCCCTTTCGTCTGCGTGCTGTCATTTACAATTATTTCAGATTTTGCTAACTTTTTGTAGTGGCTCTTTCATTGAAATCAATTATTATTAGGTTTGTCAAGATATAAAACTCACTGAATAGTTTAAATTGCAGCACACATGCACATTTCAGCTGACAACAAAAGCGAAGATCCCCGCAAGAGTATACATATATAAAGCTAGTCGGCAATGCGGCTTTGATCTCAAGTCGCAGATACATTCTGCCCCATAAAATAAATCAAATTCGTGGAATCCCAGAGTCTGCATGCGTGCGGAAACTCCTAATTTGAGAACAAAGTGAATTCTACTGCGATTCCCTTTTGAAGGCGAACAATGAGTGCCTATATGGGTATTATCAGCACCTGCACTCGTATTTGATCAACTGCGAATTGCCTTTTGTGTTCCACTATCAATAAATAATCAAAGCCGCACTTCCTTCCTTAGATAACAGTCTGGAAAATGAGAGCTCCGCCCAGATTCAATTTGAATTCACATCACCGCAGCCCGCAATACTCGTAACCACCGAAGGGCGAAGCGTTAAAACGAGCGTTAAATTCACACCCCTCAAATGCCGCTAAAAGATCGCTTTCGCACTTTAAAATGCCATAGATAATGTCCACAGAGAGATCTTTAGATCGGCCCAAAGCAAATATGAATTAGTCGGGGCCTTATTGACTCAACGTCACACGCCGTAGATGGATGGATGTTCTGCTCGGATGGGTTGAGTTAAATGTAAAAGTTCGGGAATGGTGCTATATGTATGATCGATGGCTGGTGGACGTTGATCGAGCTCCACATTGATAAGACTTTGTGTTAGGGGCGGATGTCTGGGTTCGTAGGGGATTAGCGGGCGATAAAATGCGATAGAGAAAGTAAATTGGTAGATACTTTTCCCTCCACACTTAAAATCTACATTTATTTTGATAATCCGAAAACAAAGCTTCATGTATAAATATATTTTAATTAAGGCATAGCATAATTCAAGTACATAAATCTTCTCGTGATGATTCTTGTGGCAAATCAGCAATTAAACGCGCCATCTTTATCGGCAATCATTCATTTCGCATTCATTTCTTTTCTGGCATTTTCACGTCTCGTTGGCGGGCATCGCAGCTATTAATAAATATATATCTCCTGGCGTAAGTAGGGCATGCAAACGCCGCTCAGACCTGACACAAAAAAATTGCCCAGAAGAAAATTGCTTTTCTGTTGATTTTTCACAGTCTCCGGTCGCGTGTTCACGGAAAAAATATTCGGCTCGTGTGTTCCATAGAACTGTAACGATGATGAAATGCACTGCTAAAAATAAAGCCCTCGTGTACTATATGCTTTAGTGTCATATATGTATATGTTTCAATCTTTTCGTAGTTTATTTGGTATTTTTCATGGTAATTTATGTTTTTATATTAAAGCGCACATTTTCCAAGAAAACATCGATTAAAAATATCCAACGACTTTCCTTGTGGCAATGACTTTTGTTGCTGCCCCAAACTTTTATGACCGAGTGGAACTGGCGATGAGCTCATTAGAGTCCATTCTGCGGTCATGTTGTAAGCGACTGATCGTCCGATTTGTGTACCGCCTTGAGGGGATAATGCGTAGTTATAAAAAGACAGTTAGCTATAATCAAGAGCCTTCATGCGAGGCGGGCGTGTAGGGCTGAGTGGGTGTGGCTGCAGTGCGATTTAAGGTAATTGGCTGTAAGTACCTATGACGAACTTCTGGACAGTTCCCTGGGACTTTTGTCTTATCGCAAAACTTCCGATAGCCAATTTGTAGAGGTTCATTTCGGGAGCGTGCCGATTTATAAGTTTGACAAGTTGAATTATTATGTTTTCTGAGTCACTGCCGAGCGGGTTTTTGGTAGCCGTAGTGAATCTGCTGCATCATCTCGGTCCAGCGTTTATTTCTATTTGCTTTTAATTTCACAATCAAAACAACAATAATTAAACCGTGCCTTATCTTACGGACATATCTCCTCAAGCGCCGTCTCGCTCTAATTTGGATTTCCCTCTCTCTCGCTCTTTTCTTGCAGCTGGCGCCCAGCGGTGGGAATTTCATCAGCTGTTGTCGTTGTTTATTTCGCAGCAGCAGCCCAATAAAAATGCAATTTTTATGGTTAAGAAAATAGAGCGCGGCCGCCGTTGTGTTGCACATTGGAAATTGTGCAGAAGCCAGAAGAAAATGTGTCTTGGAAAATGGAAAAGCACGAGCAGCAGCAGCAGCAATAACATTGAGCCAGTGATGTAATACAGAGCAAAAGTGAAGCGGCAATTGGCATTGCAAAAAAGAAACAGATTATACAATTTGTGTTGCTGCCGCACTGAACTAGGACAACAGCAGCAACAACAGCAACGTTGCAGCAGCAGCAGCAGCAGCAGCAGCAACAACAACCACTAGTGATAAAGACCGGCTGGCAACAGAGCAGCGGCCACTTGCAGCAACATAATTTCAAAGTCGGAGCGTGGGAATCGCAAATCGCGGCAGTGGCAGCAACAGCAGCAACATCGGACTCTCGGGGCTCTCCGGAACGCTCAGTGCGCTCCCCGTTCTCGCGCTGGCGTTGCTCCGCCTCGCTCGCACGGCAGGCGCCTCTCGCTCGCACCCGCTGGGGAGCAGTCGCGTATATTTGGAGGCGTTGGGGCGACCGCTCACGACAGTTGTGCTTGGAACGCTTCGGAGTGAAGATCGTGCTCGTCCGATCGGCGCGCGTGATAAATACACGGCAAACAAAATTGAGTGAAGAGTCAGTCAGACGGTCGCGAGACAATTGACAAGACACGAGAAATCATAATAAACACAAGTGGGGAAGCAACTGCTTGGGAGCAAAAAAGAAATTGTTTTTAACAAATCTCGCACGTAAATTAGCAAGCGTTCGCAAGAAACAAGCCGCATACAATACTGAACAGAAAAAAGATATTCAACCAAAAAGAGAAAAACAAACCGAAAATATTTGGCTGCAAATGTGAAGAGACGAGAGACAGCGGATATAAGCCGAGTGAAATTTGTGTCATAAGCAGAGCCAAAACAAAACCGAAAAGCCAAATTCAATAAGAAGGCCATAAGTGACTGTGAAACTGTAAAGTGATGTGTGGTACTCGAAAAACAGCATAAAGAATGGCCATAGACCTCCTGATCCTGGCCCTGCTGCTCGTCTCGTTCCTGATCAACCTGCTGGCGCTGTGTGCCTTTTGGATAACGCCCGGCCTCAGGACCACCGCCAATCGCTTCACCATCAACCTGCTGGCCATCAATCTCATCGGCTGCTGCATCCTGGCCCCCACTTTGTTCCTGGGACTGCCGGGCAAGTCGGCGGAAGCATCCACATCCAACGCTGAGACCCTGGAGTTCTTCTCGAAGCCGGGTAACCATCAGGTGATACTCCGGCGCAATGGCCAGCTGGTGGAGCAGGATGGCGTGGTGGTGCGCAAGAATATCAGCGAGAACGGCGATACGGTGGAGACCTTCTTCAAGTGCAACGCCACCTACTGTCGCGAGTTGACCATCGATGAGCGCGGAGATGGTGGCTTTGTGATCACGGAAACTGAGACCCACGAAGAGAACCTCTCGGCCTTTGAGAGTTCAACCACGGAGGCTCCTATTGTGCCGCCCGTCCAGCTGCGATGTTGGTCCATAGACATGACTGCTGCGCTGGGAGCTCTGGCAGTGCTGCTCGTGGTGGGGGACACCTGGTGCGCCGTTACCGATCCCCTGCGCTACCACAGTCGCATTTCGGGCGTGAAAACCTGGATCTTCATAGCGCTCACCTGGGTGGTGGGCATACTCTTTGGAGCCCTTTCCGCCTTCCGCGTCCTGGACTTTGAGGCGGACGCCCTGTTCAGCAGACAGCGCCGCCTGGCAGTCACGTACTTCAACATCAGCAGCACCAACAGTATTTTCGGAGTGGTGTACGCCAGTGTCTACTTCATCGTGATCATCCTGCTGCCCTTCGGCTTCGTGTGCGGCATGTACTGGAGGATATTCAGTGAGGCGCGCGGAAATGGGCTGCGCATGCGCCAGAATGGATCATCGCCGCTCCTGCAGAGCGCCTTGAATCTGACCGCTGGCCAGCAGGTGGCCCAGGCCAATCAGTTCTCCAATAGCTTGTGTGTTCACCGACATTCCATATCCTCGGCCAGCTCGCATGGCGGTAACAGCAGCTTGGGCCTGGGCGGTCTGCAAATGCAAATTGATCAGCGCCAACAGCCGAGGAGTTCGCCCAGCTGCCTGCGCAGGGATTCGGCCGCGAAAGTCCTTCTGCCCACCATCTCCGATGATGGTGGCTCAGATGCGGAAAGCGGCACCGGAGTTCAGCTGATGCCCGTGCAGGAGCACTCACTGTCTGATAGAAATCAGAATATTATGCTGACTCTGCAAACAGCCAGTGGTGAGATCAAGAGGAACTACTCCGCCAGGCAGCTGCCCCTGTTGGGCACTTCTTCGCAGGATCTGAGGGAGACCAACCGTCTGCAGGGCATTCGCCAGGTGCACAGCTCCCCCAATCTGCACAAGTACACGGAGCTGCGCCAGGATTCCCTCAGTGAGGAGTGCGGTTCCCCACATCTTTTGGGTCACGCCCAGCGGCAGCAGCAGCAGCAGCTGCATCTGCAACATCAGCAGCAGCAGCATCATCACCACCAGCCACATCACCCGCACTTCAGTTCGCCGCGCCACCAGCAACACGGCCACGCCCTCCAGATACCCGCCATACACGCCTCCCCCAAGGCCCTGAGCTACATGAGCTCCTTGCGACACCGTCTGAGCAACGCCAGTTCGCTGTTTAAATACCGCGAGGAGTCGCGAGCCGCCCGCATCAGCATCCTGGTGGTGGTGATGTTTGTGGTCTCGTACCTGCCCTTCGGACTGCTGGTGCTCCTGCAATCGCGGCTGTCGGCTGCCAATTTTGGCGGATCCTCCCAGCTGGCCATCTTCATGATCCTGCTGGCCAATCTCAGTTCGCCCTTCATCTTCGCCTACAGGAATAAGAGGGTGCGGCGAGGAGTCAAGCGGCTGTTTGGTCTGCACTCGTCGTCGGGTCTGCAGCGCAACTGCAGCAGCAGTGTGAAGACCAATGGCACCGCGGGTCCTGCTGCGGGTGGTGCACAGTTGCAGCGCAACAGCAGCAAGCTGTCGCAGTACAGCAGCAACAGCTGCAGGTACCTCACCCCACAAAGCTCCCTGGTCGGTCAAGTGCCGGTGCACACGACCTTGACTTTGAGGCCCAACAGCAGCTGCAGCACCATCATCAATTTCGGTGGCGCCAGGGGTTCAGCGGACTCCGATGAGCAGCCACCGGCCACACCACCACCCACTGCAACCGCGCCACCGCCCACTCGACCACAGCGCCCCAAGCTGCAGAGGGGCATCACCATTGTGGAGCACATAGCTATAACACCAACCACGCCCCAAAAGTTCCAGAATCGGCGCGCCAGGCTCTTCGACATGTTCTTCCGCAGCTCCAAGAAACTGCAGGCGGGCTGCCAGAGCCAGAGTTTGCCCACTGATGTGTAAATGGGGGTTATGATAACTATACGTTTAGGAAAGTAAACACACACTAAACTCGCTTGCTGAAGAATTCTAAAACAGTATTCGTAATTTGTAAGTTTAGCAATTAACAAAGACAACTGTTTGAATTTGAGTTTTAAGAGCAGATCATGCTGTCCTAGAAGCTTCACATGCCAAAAAACGAAACCACAAAGAAAGTCAAACTAGAAAGTTTGAGATGCTTTAAAGTAACACAAAAACAAAACAAAACAAAACAACAAAAAAACAAAGTACCTTTTAAAAAAATAGAACACTGTGTACAAGTCAAATTAACAAAGTTTGAGAGTGACGGGAGCTATAATCTTAGGGTGGATATCAAACTGAAAAGTGGAACCAAGCCAAGCCAAGTTGAGATCGTAATCAATGTACCTAAGCAACTTGCATATGAACATTTAATGTTTTTACTCAGATGAAATCACAGGAAAATAGCAAAGACAGCACAGCTTTTTCGAACTTCCCCACTAGTTTATTATTTATTGAAGCGATTGTAAATATTTATTAGACATCCACACCGCGCAAAGCTTTAACTCCAAAAACATTCTGGCTAAACAAGAAGAGACGCATACATTCAATTCATAAGTTAATTAAGTCAATGTGCAAAGCATATGTGTATTCTAGCGTTTAAGTTGTAGAGCCGAGTAGTTTAAACCGAGCACCTAGTGCCGAGCAGTGCTTTTCCACTTGGCCAACTGGTGCGTATTTCGCAGGCGTCATTTTCATATTGAAAATGCATTTTGGCCAGTGCACAGTTGGTTTTCCAGTTGGCCAGAATGCCAGAATGTCAGTCAGCAGTTAGTTCGCCTTTGGTTAGCCAACGGCTATTGGGCCATTAAGTCAATTTGCTTTTTAGAACACCGCGGGCATTGCGTGCAGCTAAATACCTCATTAGATTTAATTTAAAGTGCGAGATGGATGGCGGCAATAGGTCAAAGGTCGGAGTCATCGACACGCCCCATGCCCCATGCATAATGCATGGAAAATGTTCGATTGCCCCTGGCATTTGTACCATTTGCTTTAGTAAGCTACCGGCCAGAAAGCTTTATACCTTAAGTTCTCCTGCTTTCATTTCCCTTGGCTGCACAAAACCCAACAAAAGCAAAACTCACACAACAAAAAACAACCTCGAATTTATATTTCTAAAGTTTATATTTTATAAAGAGTGTGTGCATAGGAAATATCTATAAATATTCATGCATGTGTGTCGGACAAAGGAAATATTTCAAAACCAATTATTGTGATGTTGAGCAAGGGGGGCAACCAAGAATGTAATTTCGAAATGCATTAAAAATAACTTAAAACATGTATTAATAGTTATACTATATACAAGCTTATGTGTGCATGTGTGTATACATACTTTACTAAATACTAAATAGTGATATTTTTTCAAATTTATTCAACTGTCATTCGCTAAACCATTCGATGTAAGCGCAAAAAGCAAATGTAAAACAAAAACCAATTTCAATGTGACAAATTAGCTTTTAATCCGAAACGAAAAGCAACAATTGCTGGCTGATGCAAGTCAAATCCGGTATATTCCAGCCAAGCTGCTAATAAATTCGATAATGAAACACAACCAAACCATACCAAACAACAAAAAGAGCAAGAAACTATTCAAATAAAAGATTATGTGTCTTAAAAGAATTAATTATCTTGACTTTTTCACTGGGGGCAGTTCAATTGGGGGCTTGATGGCGGTTCCAGCATGCCCACACTGATCTCCACATCTGCAGCTCCAGAGGTTGGTCCAAAAAGTTCTGAGCTCGCACCAATTAATACAGACCATAGAGATTCGAGGCAATTCATCGATCCAACCTGCTCTCAACTTTGCCGACAAGAGCTCTAGAACACGAACAAACACTTAACCAGGCGGAGGGGCGCACGAGTTCAGCATTTCATTCAGTATTTCAGCACTCGATTGCCTGCCACCCATATCCGTATTAATTGATTCATAAACCGAAAAGAAACAGCACGATATATATTAAATACTTTATTTTTCATTTCGGTATGATTGTGACATACGCGTGTTTCATTTCAAAATTAATACAAATTGTACACGGAGAGAAAGGTTTTCGTTATTTTCACTTGGATGCCAAGGACAAATCTGCTTTATTAAGTGCACGAAATACGAGTTGGTATATTGTTAGACAAACAAATGTAGAGTTCAAACATTGGCCATTATTTTTCTCAGTATTTCGTCTCCGCAAATCGAACAGCCGATTTGATTGTCACATTTTTGGAAAAGGGGAAAGCGGCGGAGGTGTCACGATGTCATCTGTATATGGGAGTCGGTGATTGGTACGAGTACGGGTTTGCTACTTAGAACCCGACCACGGAGATCCAACACTTGGTCAAGCCAAGCGAATTGGTGGGTATTAGAGGATTAGAGGAGGGTCGCCTGGGCGTTGCAGTGACTAATGGTTTAGCAACGGGCAAAATATCAGAGAGCCATGGCTTACCTCAGCAACTGACTCACCCCACCGATCGGGGTAGGTCCAAGTCAAGAAATGTGATAAGTACCACTGATATTCCATATAGGCAGGCTAATTTTTGCAGCAATGTGGTGACAACGGAACGTCTGTGTTTGGTCTTTCAACAGAAAAATGCGGCACATAAACAAAATCACAATCAAAAGCGCTGCAGAAGCAAGAGCTGAATCTGACACGCCGACCAGATTCTCGGACGCCCCAGTGAGTATCTGTGAGTATCTAGCGGATGCGTTGCTGTCCCTCAGCAAATCGGTCACCGAGAGCGTCGCACTTATTTATTTACTTTATGATTCACAGCGCGTCTCGCTCTATGGTGCGTTTAATATGCCTCGATGAGGCCTCTGACATTTCTACCCATCACTCGGCGTAAAAAGACTTCTGTTGTTTGCCAATTGTGGTCCGAAAATAGAATTTCCAGTTTCGAACATGACAGGCGGTGTGAACAAATTGACTGATATATCACAGACTTAATTAGCATATATATTAGCTCTTTTTAATTAGGTACACGGTCTTTCTTGCATGAAACGTGAAACGTGAAACATGAAACCTGAAGCGTTTACACGAGCTCGAAATAAAAGAGACAAACTAGTCGCTTAACTAAAATAATTGAGAAGCGCCGAGAAGGGCCCTTGACTCCGATTGATGGGAAGCGCGTAGAAGAGCCATTGAAACACTCAAGCGCAGCAACTCCAACGCTCAATGGCAATACGTGTAATTAAATTTAAAGCTCTACAAAATTATTGGATAAATTAAAACACAATTTTCTATATGTGTGCTAAAAATAGGCGTACTCGTAAAGCCAACTAATTTGTTGCAATATGGCTACATTACCAAAAATGTCAACACGCTTCTGTGGTGTGAAGCCATAAAAATATTAATTTGAATAGCTGTATAATTAAATAAAACTTAAGCAACATTAAAAAACCATTTTCGTAAGCCCGCTGAGTTGCGAGACAAGAGTAGAAAGAATGCCAAATGTCATTAGAACAGATTTTGGCATTTGGCACAGAGGCACAAATTTCGATATTTTCTTGTTTTATTCACAGCACAAGCGGTCTACACAAACACGAAACGAATAAATTGGATTTAAACGCTAAAAACTGTCGAAAGTCAGGTGAGGAGCAAAGAAGGCCGTGTGGGTGGACAAGCTGCTGTCATCTTAAGCAAATTTGTCGATTAGGCAAGAGGAAATAAACATTGCCGCTGCGACATATTGGTTTTTTTCCCAGATCCGCCGATATGACACGTCAGTGCGTCATCTGATGTCAAAGCGCGGAAAACTAACGACTGAGCAGAGATTATCTAAGCGCTGTGTCAATGAACCTTACGGAAGTTTGGCCCAATCTGCCATAGGTGCTCGCCAAGAATTAAATATCAATAAAGCCATAAATCTAAGCGGTTTTGGATTTATCCAATTTGCATGTGAACTTGAATAATCCGGGTGCATTGACTCGGCTGCACACCCTTGAGCGGCCAGAAAAATCAACACGGGCGTCTGATTCTGAGATACGGCAATGGATTTATGTTATGTTCAATATTTTTGGGATCGGCGCTTTCCGCGCCGTGTATTCCGCCCCGTGTATTTACAACAGCTGCAGTCTGTCCGCGCTGAAGTGCTTTGTTTTGTACAAAACTACTGCTCGAATTCAATCTGCAGACTTAGTCAAAGTCAGGCCATGTTGCTCGTATAATAGTATAATATGCAAATATACGACAGGCCTTATCAGTCCGCCTTGTTATCGCTGATGGGGCACTAGAACATCTAACAGCATAATCAAAATGATTTAATATATTTGCCCGTGCACGCAAACACACGAACTCTGCTTTTTCTCGAACTTCTACAATAAGTTTTAAAGTAGAGTCAAGTTTTTGGCGCCGTCCTAGGCCAAGAATCTGAAGAACTGTGCCTTTCTCACGCAGCTTACACTGGTTTTATCTCGCATACTGGAGTATATACTTGTATATAAGAGTATGGGGAAATGGGCCCATAAATATGCCGTCAGGCTGGCTGTCTCTGTTTTTGCCTCCGACTTATCGCTGACAGTTAACCCGCTCACGACTCCCGACTCCCGACTACCGACTCCCGATTCACTGATTCGCAGTCCCTCCGTCCGGGTGACGTCACAATGGCAATAGAAACATATGTAGGCATCGAATGTAGCCACCTCCAAACACCCCCGTTCCCGGAATATTTGAACCCATACAGATCCGAGGCCAAGGGATGTGTCGGCCGGGCTGTGATTGTGGCCCGTCAACATTCAGCCAAGTTCTCTTCATGGAATATTCCATGACATGATTCAAATATTGTCGCACAGCAAGCAGAAATCTTGGAGCTGGGGACTTGAATCTGTCCTCCCTGTAGTTGTTTATAAAGTTTTATTCTCCAGCTTATCAGGCGCCGTTCTGGGCGGACCTTTTTCGAAAATATCAGCATTTTCCAATCATTTGTAGCATTCTGCCAATAGTTTCCGGTGGCTTACCTCTCTCTACTTAGCATATAAATTATATGTAGTTCTGTTTTTGGCACGTGCTACGAAGCACTATGAAATAAATCGTTAAGTGCATTTCTGGGGCAGACAAAATTAAATTTATTCGTAAGTGCCAAGGCTAAAGGGGAAATATATAGATTATTCGTTTCCCAGAAACTGTCAAGTGTGGATTCGTGTTCAAGCAGGAGCATCCAACTGACACTCACTGAATATTGAACTTTGTTGACGGTATTATTTGCAAATGATTCCAAGAAATGCTGTCCCACAAGTGTAGGGTTATTTTATTTAATAGCTGCTGCGTCTCCCATTTCGATTTTATCAATTATTTTCACATGTAGTAATTACAGATCATGTTTTTCCTAAACACAAAATTGTATATTGTATATTGTAAGCATGGCTGTAAATGAACATGTAAATGTGCTGCCAAAAACGAGAGTTCTTACACATGGCAGTTGCCCCTATAGAAGCACATCTCTAATAAGGCAAACATGCTCTGCCACTTTTGCCAAACTGTGTATGTGCACAATTTCTCAATTAAATTCGACAGAAGATTCTGGGGGGGCTGTGCGGTGATGTATCTTGTTCTCATTATTGCTGCCAAATTACGAGCCCGTCTATGAGTAAGCAGAGACAAAGAGTCGCACCAGAAGACGACGAGCTATTTTCTATGCGATGCACACGGGTTCCCATGCTAGATTTAGCCACACAGCTGTGGCACCCCCATGCTCGCAAATAAATTCATTTCCGCATGGCTATATCTTTAGTAACACGCTCGCCTGAATTGCCGTTTAAATATTTATTAACAAGAGGGTCGCACAAAAAGGTTTATGGTTAAACAAACAGTTGCCACCAAAAGCAAAACGGTTGGGCAATAATATTTGATTTGTGGCAGCTTGGTCGCCAGTAGCTTTAAACGCTTATTTACAGTCGACATTTTCGGCTTATTGCCAAGCAGTTGACTGCACTTTTGGTTCATGCACCTTGGCAAAGGGCCAATAACTGGAGCTAAACGGCAAAACTTTTCCCGAATCAAGCCCAGAATACTTGTATCATAACTGTGGCTCTCAAACTGCTGTTTGATTTGCCTGTTTGCACAAAAGCGAGCCGGGTCGAACCAAACTTGAATACAGCTAAGCAAATATTAGCCCGGTCAGAGCAGCTCAGCCAGATAGCGAACTCGTCAGCATCGGCAGCAGCCACAAAAGAACATATTATCACTTGTGTACCAAAACATTTTTATTTATACAAGTTGCCGAAACTTTTTTTCTTATTTTTTGGTTGGTAGCTCCTTTTTGGGCGCCACTATGTCGGCATTGTAGCGCTAAATTGGTGGATGGAGTAGGATTTTCTACGGAAAGTACTCCGGCGGAAAGAGAACAAGAGTGTGGACTTCCATTGAAGAAAGTTTGTGGCAAATTGATTTAAAATAAATGGAAATACACATTGGCAGTACGTGCCTAGCTGCCAGCACAGGTGGCGTATACGTAATGCTCAGTCACTGATTTTGTCTGAATCCTACTGCCAAGTAAACCAAAGTCGAGTGGATTGGCTTTGCTTCTCGTTTATACACCTACAATACTTATGAAGTGAATTGCTTTAAGTAGTTGAGAGGCATTTGCAGTTCTGTGGGCTTTACTAGAAACCAAACAGAATGGTGGTATCAAAAGTCACCACTATATTCGAAGAATCCTATAAGGAATTAATAACTTTGTGGCCACATAAAAATATATACCATCCTATTTTACCATCCTAGTAATTCAGTTCTCGATTCAATAGAACCGGCTTGTTTGCTGACTTCATTTCCCAGCCAAGTGCATCAAATCGTGAATTTTGTATGCCATTTTGTGGCACAGGAGGGTCGCGGTAAGGGAGTGGCAAAAAGAGTGAAAACAATGGCAGTTGCGCCGGATGCACTTGCATTTGCATGTAACTTCAAGTCCATTGGGGAAACAGCGAGTTGAATTGTGTATTAAAGTTGCACAAGAGTGGCGGTTGAATCGAACTCGATTTGCGGCACACAGAAGTGCAAAAAGAAGTCCCTGGAAGAAAAAAGCTAAATTCCAATCAAAGGGATAAATAGTGATTAAAATGGAGCTAGTTTTAGTGTTTTAAAATAAATGTAGTTCATAGTTTTTTTATGCTGTGGTATATATTTTGTAATATGCCCGTAGGTTTATTTTTAGACTTCTGTTTGTTTACCTGCGACAAAAGGAAAATGGAAATATCCATAAAACTACTTTTCCCTAACCAATCCTCTTTACCCGCCCAGCCCACTATTAAACATTTCAGGCCCGGCAGCTGACGTCCTTGCTATTGAAAATTACTGGGTTTTTCCCGTTCACGCCAGAAAACCGGAAAGTGGCAGTGATGGAGCAGGGTGTGGAGTGCAGTGGTGTGACAACACTTAGGGTTAACCGCCTGCCGCCGAGCCACCCGAACCACCCACTCCACCAGAGCCACCATTGCCACCATAGCCAACGGGTCCACCCACTTCGGCCCAGCCCAAAACACTCTCGCCCAGAATGTTCTTTGCCTTTGCTTTATGGTTCATGGCGTTTTTGCCAGCCCGCCTGCATGCCAGTTTTCCATCCTGCCAGCCTTCTAGCTTGTTTGCCATCCTGCCCAGAATGCCAGAATGTTAGCCTGCCTGGCATCGTGAACGTCATCTTCATCGGGGGAATGGAAAAACTCAAGGAGTGACTAAACAGCGCT